AACGTCTCGAACATACCCAGGAGGCGTTGCCATCAACTGTCAACTAGCGGAGGATCCTCTACAGCCAGTCGGCCCAGCGAGCCAGCACAACAGCCCATTCAGCAACCCATTCAGGTCAGCGATGCCCGTTTGTCCCTCCTGGATAAATATGACGGCACACCATCTAAATGCCGTGGCTTCCTACTTCAGTGCTCCCTCTACTTCACGCACCAGATGGGAGCTCCCACCACAGAGAGGTCCAAGGTTGCCATGGTGATTTCTCTGCTGACTGGGCGGGCGTTGGAAAGGGCCATGGCCGTTTGGGAGAGAGGAGATGAGGAGCTAGATTCATATGAGGGGTTCATGGCACTGTTCAAATGCATCTTGGATCATCCCCCGGAGGGAAGGGGGGGCTGGGGGGGTGAGCGCTTACTCCAATTATGGCAGGAGGAACAGAATGCTGCCAAGTACATGCTCACCTTCCGGACAGTAGCAGCATCCAGCGGCTGGAACGAGCCGGCGCATCGTACGCTATTCAGAAGAGGTCTGCGCGAGGAGATCCAGACGGAATTGGCCTGTTGAGACGACAACCTCTCCTTGGACGCACTCATTGCGATGGCCATCCATCTGTATAACCTACTTCTGTAGCGTCGGTACTCTCATCGCTTCTCTCCCTCCCTCAGTGAAGACTCTGGATCAGAGCCTGAACCCATGGAGGTAGGGGTCACACACCTTCCTGCGGTGGAACGACGCAGACGGAGGCAGCTAGGGCTCTGTTTGTATTGTGGTCAAAGAGAGTACCAGCTCCAGCGGTGTCCGGCACATCCTAATCCGGGATCCACAAGAGCAGAGGGACGGTCACGTGATCTTCCATCTCCTAGGGCAGGGGTGAGGATTCCATCTTCATCACTTTCTGCTAAACTCTTTTTGGTGTCCATCACACCAGTTGACTGTCCCTCATGTACTGTGTCTACAGGGTTAGTGATTCCGGTGCCGCGGGGAACTTTATTGACCAGACCCTTGTCTCCTCTCTTAACATCATCTCATACCCGCTCTCCTCTCCTTTCCCGGTTCAAGTGTCGTGGAGTCCATTCATCAGGAGAACATCCCCTTCTTCATCACCAGTGCACCAGGTCACAAGATCATCCTCGGCCTCCCTTGGCTCAAACGCCATAACCCCACCATCGCATGATAGAGGATAAGAATCACAGACTGGTCACCCGAATGCCGGAGGACCTGCTTCCCCATCCCCTGTGGTTCCACGTCGGTTGAGAGTCCTGTGGTTGCCCTTTAGCCCAACATCCCGGAGGTATTTCAGGACCTACCGGAGGTATTCTCCAAGACCCACACCACCTGTCTTCCTCCTCATTGCCCCTGGGACTGTGCCATCGACCTGCTGGCAGGGTCTGCGCCTCTGCGCAGACGCATCTACCCTCTGTCGGTGGCTGAGACCCAGGCCATGGAGGATTACATGCAACAAGGTTTCATCCGCACGTCCACATCTCCTGCATCCGCTGGTTTCTTCTTCGTGGCCAAGAAGGATGGAGGGTTACGTCCATGTATTGACTACAGAGGACTCAATGAAATCCCCACAAAGTACCGTTACCCTCTCCCGTTGGTGCCGGCAGCCATTGAACAGCTCCGCGGGGCCCGGTTCTTTACCAAACTGGACCTGTGCAGTGCATACAATCTCATCTGGATCCGGGAGGGGGATGAGTGGAAGACCGCGTTTAGCACGATGTCTGGTCAGTACGAGTACTTGGTGATGCCTTTTGGTTTAGCCAATGCTCCGTCAGTGTTCCAGCCATTCATTAACGAGGTGTTCAGGGACATGCTCGGACGTCAAGTGGTCGTGTATATCGATGACATCCTGGTCTACTCAGCTACCCTGGAGGATCACATCACTCACGTTCGAGCAGTCCTGGAACGCCTCCTGGCTAACCACCTGTTCGTCAAGGCTGAGAAGTGCTAATTTCATCAGAAGGCTGTCTCCTTCTTAGGCTACCAAATCAGCCCGCAGGGAGTGAGGATGGACGACAAGAAGGTAGATGCGGTCAGGTCATGGCCAGTCCCGACCACCATAAAGGGGTTACAACAGGTTTTGGGGGTTTGCCAACATCAGGAACTTCAGCTCTGTCGCCGCCCCTCTCACCTCTCTCCTCAAGGGTGGTCCCCGTAGGCTGGTATGGAGCCCAGCAGCCAACGAGGCCTTCCGTCTACTCAAGGGACGTTTCACCTCCGCCCCATTGCTCAAACACCCATATCCCACGATATCCTTTGTGGTGGAGGTGGACGCTTCAGAGGTGGGCGTGGGGGCAGTTCTGTCTCAACGACAGGGTAATCCACATAAATTGTATCCGTGTGCATATTACTCTAAGAAACTGTCCCCTGCAGAGAGGAATTCCGATATTGTGGGGGTCGGCTCCAGTACCTGGTGGACTGGGAGGGTTATGGCCAAGAGGAGCAAGGTTTGGGTTCCGGTGGAGGACATTCTGGATCCCAACATCATCCGTGATTTCCACCTTCGCCCGACCGTCCTCGGGGCCGCCCCGCTGGTCAGCGTCATCCTGCAGCTGGAGTCGCACGTCAAGGGGTGGGGTTCTGTCACGTCTACTCCCGCTACTCCCCTCCGGCGTTCGACGTCGCCGGTATACTAACCACCGGTCCTGGGATCCATCATTATGCACACCTGGCATCAATCATTACGCGCACCTGCCTGTCATCATGAGGCACACCTGGACTCCATTACCTCCCCTATATCTGGCACTCCCTTAGGTTCTTTCACCAGTCAGTATTGTTCCTATGGTTATGCATAGACACTACTGTTATGGTGTCTCATTCCATGTTTGTTGTTTTATTAAACGTTTCACCTGCACCTGCTTCTCAACTCACAGCGTCTTCGTTACAGTTTTATAGGATTCTTGTCTACACAAAACTGCATATTCTGGTTTTGGTATGTTAGGATTATGTCCCAAATGACTGCTAAAAGCACCATCAAATAAATTACATACATTACCATCAAATTATAGAAATTATATATATTTTTTAAACAAGCATAGGCCTACATTTGATATGTGTTTACACTTTTGTGTATCCCAATTAAAATAAAGCCAGCTCAATCATGACCATTTAAATAGAAAATTGCAATGTCAACATGAATTTTACAGTACTTTCGATGATTTCCAACCTAGTTTTTATGTTGGTTCTAAGGTTCTATGATAGCTTTTTCAGTAAGATCTCTTGGTTCAAAGAGTACTCTTATTTCCTCCTCCCGTCATTTCCTTGAAATAGCATTTTAAGTTTTTAAGCAAAGTAAGCCGAAAGTAAAACGGACCCACACAAATTAATAGGAAACAAACTGTTTCACTTTTTCAGAGGACGGTTATTACTTCTGTAGTCATTAAATGTCAAGAGCTATTTTCTGCTCAGTAAAAACATTTTGAAAACTAGAATTATTAATGCTCCTTTTATACTCCCTCTGAATTATGATGTTGTGGGTTTTCTTTATTCCTTACGCATGTTTTCTTGGGCTAATCAAAAGCATTGTCAGAGGATAGTGAAAGCAATACCGACGCATACCTGGGATTGCAGCCAGGTCCAGTGGTGTTCAGCACCACAATTCCAATATTACTATCAACCACATTCAGAATCAAATTCACACCATTGTTCTATTTTGTGGTGTGTTATGGATGCGTGGCATGTTACACCACAATGAAAGGTCAGTCTAATTATATTTTGGAGAGAGAGGCCTTTTTTCTGTGGTACAAATTCCATTTAATACAATTGTAGCCAGGTACCATTTGAAGTAAGCCATGTGGACCGATTCCATGTTTTTCTCACAGAACGTTGTCTATGAAAATTAAAAGCCATCAGTCATGCGATGTGATGAGTTGTGTATACAGTCGCACCAAGCCAATGTATTCCTCTCACTGGAAATCATCCGAACCACTCCAACTGAGTGTTCATATTGATTGCTGCAATCTGTTCCACATCAACGAAGTAGGCCTACGAATGGAAACAGGTGTTTTCCCCCATAGTACTGCCTTTTGAGTGATTTAACCACCGATACCCTTGGCAAAATCTCACATTGACGTAAACACGGTATCCTTGACTTACTTACAGTAGTAATACCCACTCCCTCATTTCCAACTCATTTTTCAAAGAAGAACTAGCCACTAGACTGTTATTTTTGAGAGGGAAACGGTTTGGATTCACCTGACTAATTTTACCCCACAGCTACTTCACTCTGTTTAGTTTATAATCATGGCCCTCTCCAAGGCATCATTCTGTTCCATTATTGAAATGTACAGAATACTTAGAGTTGTCATTAGTGTTCTTTGCATATTCTGTGCCCGATAAGACCTAAACTTTTCTACTTTAATTAATCAAGCCATTAATTGCGTCCAGTCTAGACCCCTATAGTCCAATTAAGATTCGAACAAACGTAAACAAATACACACATTACTGTACTCAGCAAAAGCTCTAAGGGATAGAAATCTGCTTTGAACATCATAATCCAATTACCTGTTTGAAGAACTGATAAGGATGTTTATTGTCCAATCACTGAACAGGATATTTCAATTAGAAAAGACAGAAGCGTTGGATGATCTGACAGCTTTTATTGGCAGCATTTCAAATTATTCTTATGACGTCAGAAACCCATGGTCCTCCCCCATTGAACATAGCATAATTCATGACCATCTTACCATTGAACAGGTCACATATATATTTACATATTTTAGTCATTTAGCAGACGCTCTTATCCAGAGCGACTTACAGTTAGTGAGTGCATACATTTTTTTTTCCCATACTGGCCCCCCGTGGGAAACAAACCCACAACCCTGGCGTTGCAAGTGCCATGCTCTACCAACTGAGCTACACGGGGCCCTTTGTCCTGTACGAACTGTACTGTACTCTGCTATTGTCTCTGGTATTTTCTTTCCACATTGTGCATTCCAGCATGGTTTCAGCAACTATGGTGGATGCGTAACGAGGGCAGCGCAGTACATGTCGGCTTGTCTTGGCTCAGTAGTGTGAAAAGGGTTACAATTTAGCCCGAAATGTTGAGACACAAACCCTTGTTCCTACCAATTCAGACACCCTTTGAGAAATGTCCATTTACACAATGAGGAACAGGGGGCAGTCCTTCCACACAAACACAGAACTATGGTACTGTACACATAGAGAATATGTTTGCTCATAACTTAATTTTAACAAAGTTCTAAGAGAAGAAAGTGTTTTATAATGAACACTTAGCTAAGCATTAGCGAGAACAAACGAACTGGCGATGACAGCATGACAAAGAGCCCAATCTTCACTGCGGGCATGATAATCATTAGGTCAGAGCTATCCCATGTATTCTGAGGTTCCCACATCTCTTGCAGCTGACAGCACTGGGAATGATCAGAATCAGGGTATTTGTCCAGAATGGCTGAATTTGCCGTAGATCCATTGTCTATCTCTATCATTCCAGTATTGATCAGAAATAATGTTCCTCCTTCAGTCAAGTCGAAGAGAGCGGTATTAAAGGCCTTATATCCTCAAGGGTCTTTTCCAATCAGTTTGTGCAGTTGAGTACGAAATAAAGACAGTTCACTGGAGACGGTTTCTCGTGACAACGTTTCAGGTAAGAGCTTTCCGTTCTTAAAGAATAACCGTGTAGTTCCCGATGGCGTTTTTAGAATTCAGTCTTGTGCTTGGATGTGTTTGGATAGCTTGATGGTAGGTTAGTCCACATAAAAGTACTTTCATCTTGACTCAAAGCGATAACAATGTACAAGTATACAGATTGGTTTCAATCTGTCTCAGTCTCTCCAAGTCTTACACCTAAGGGACTTGCAAGTGCAACTGAACCACTAAGAAACAAAAATAGAAAAAGGACTATGCTGTACATGTTTAGGAGGAAGAGTAGCCTATATGCTAAAGAGTCAAATTTCTCCAGATCTTTTTTACAAATCCTCCCATCTGCTTTATGGGTGGTCCTTGGCAGTGCTTCCTCATTTAGTGTCCATATAAGAGCAGAGGTAGGACCACAAGGCCAGTAAAGGAAGTTGGAGGCAGTAGGCCAAGTGCGGGGGCAGAGTTTGGGAGCCCATCCGATGGGAGGGTAGAATCTCCCCACAGTCGGTTGTTTCCGCTGGCCTAAGGGTGAGAAAGAGAGATCAATGTTGACAAAAAACATTGTAGCCCTACATGGTTAGCCTGAAACAAAACATAACAAAACTAGGTAGGTATTATTCACTGCCGAGGGCCAAAACTAAGATATTCATTATCATTCTGAAATGTCAAAACAATGTGTCAAAGGTGATCGGGTGGGAGTCCTCTAAATATGCAACTATAACCTCCCTGAACTTAACTGGCAAAGGTATCAACTCCTGGCAACTATTTTTTTGATGGAATACTGTACAAACAACTGAAAAAGTATCTATTTTATTCAATTTTAGCTCTGACCCTGATGAAACAATTAACAAAACAATCACCACACCTGTGTTGGTATAATTGAGTCTGGAATGTTCCATGTGGTCTCCACAGTAGCAGGCAGAGGGGTGGTGGCATGGCTTTCTCTGCCAGTGGCTGGGCTGAGGTGTCCCGATTCGCTGGGCGTGGGCATCACGTCTGTCCCACTCCCAAACGCCTGGAGGGCATTCCCTGGTTCACAAGATGAAAACAGGCACAGTGTGAGAAGAGAAGAGACAATTAACTCGAGGCTCCCGAAATGGACATCCATCTTCATCCATTTCCAATCACGCCCACATTCAATTACTGCACAGGACCCATTCTGCATTCTGCCTGTGTGGCTCGGCTTGGACCAGTTTGGATTTGCTCGGTGGAGAATAAAAAAAAATATATATATTACTCAGTATTCTCTTCAGGTTTCCCTAACTGCACCTGCCTCTCCACATCCTCTCATTAACTCACAGACTAGTGGCATTCGCCAAACAAGTCTGAGACTTCACACTGTGTCCATTTTTGTCATGGAGAGGAGGGGCCACTGAGGAGAGGTTGCTATCTGCACTAGATTTACCTTGCGCTCTCCGGGAGGAAGATAGCCCCTGTCTGTTTAAACAGGCCAGATGAAAAACACTGTAGCAAAGTCAATAATAAGGATGATTCATTATTCAAAAGGGCATGAGCAAAATTGGAATAGAGATGGACGACCATCAGGGTGAGTGAGTCACCTGCACTGACGCATAAATAAAGCAGAAAATGAAGGTCTGGGTCATGTGGTTGAAGGCACTCTTCATCTTCTAAGATGGATCATGAACATATCGCACATATCATTAAACCATCAGAAGGTTAAACTAGATTGTCTCCCAACATGTGAGGTGATATTACACAAGCATTACATGTAATAACACTGTTATTACGTGTAATAATGCTTCTATTACTGTGCTATTATGGGTTAAGTCTGTAGGTTGAGTCTGTAATCGACACAAATAAGTAACTCTATACAAGTTGCATATTCTCAGCCAATATTTACATCAACTGTTGAAACGAGAATAAATGCATAAGCCATAAAGACGGAGGGGTGAATTAATAAATATGTGATTACTTTAGAATCACAGGGCTAACCTATTTCCTTTTCACTCAGGAAAGGCACTGTGAACACCCAGGTGGAATTACCAAGGATACAGCATGAAGGGGATGATTAATGAGAGAGAGAGAGAAGGGAGGGAGAGGGGTGAAAGAGAGAGAGGAGCGAGAAAGCGAGAGAGTGAAAAAGAAAGAAAGAAAGAAAGAAAGAAAGAAAGAAAGAAAGAAAGAAAGAAAGAAAGAAAGAAAGAAAGAAAGAAAGAAAGAAAAGCGAGAGAGCACAAGAGATCATACTGACTGGTAATTTTCCCAGAGAGGAGATAACTATTTTTTAACACAATCCTTCACTGCTGTTGAGCCTACAGGTAACTAACTGGTGTGGGACATATCTGCCTCATTGTATAAAATTTCCCCCCTGTCAAATTCCTTTTCTATAATCTGCTCCTAGTGAGCCCAATTTGCTGTTGTCCCTTGGCACAGGTATTAATTAATGCAAATAGGCTAGGTTGAACAAGGAGTAACATCATCCAATAAATAACATTTGGAAATAAGAGAGAAGCTGCATTCAATCCAAACAGATAATTAGACAAATCAAATTTGTGTGGTTTCAATGGGAGCTCTATGAAGTTTTTTTGTAGAATAATGCAAAAGCATTGTTATGTAGACCAATTATTGTAATGGAAAACCAAAGTGTTGTTTTTGAGATGCTGGATAAATCATTCCTCAAAGGGAGAAAAAAAAATAGATTTACCAGTAAGCGACCGCATATGAGAGACATGACAAAAAACTAAAGGGCAAAATCCCCAGAACTCATGGAGTAAATGTCAGCTTTATCCCCTGAAACATGCAACAGGTGCCAACAGTCATGTGAATGATTAACATGTTATGATCACTACCTTCCACAAAATCGTCCCATATCATTTACCATTGGAATATACGGAACCAGACTTTATAGAAATAGGGCATCTTGAGATACAAGAAGATGTTGCTCTTGTTCTTCTCCCTTATAAACCTGTGTAGTGTAACATGCTCATTAGGGAACACCATAGCAAAAGGTTTCAAAACGTTTCCAGACGTTCTGATAGTACCTTGGGCCGTTTTCCTCCATTTCGTGCTAGTGAACACAACCCAACATTAATGCTGCATCCCAAATTCCACCATATTCCCTAAATAGTGCATTACTTTTTACCCTTATGGAACCTAGTCAAAAGTAGGCCATTTGGGATGCAGCCTAAGTCACTGGAGACTGTTTTTTGTGATGACTTGCTGGGAGCCACTCACTGAGACAGACGTTGTCGGTGAAGTATTCCAGGAAGTCGGAGCACTCTATTCTCTGGTTTCCACTGGCAGAGCAGGAGCACCATGGGGCCACGCTAGATGTGGAGTTATCCACATAGTTGGGAGTTATCGAACTGCCTGCAGAAACAATGTGTGCTCAGTTTAGTATCAAATATTAATTCCCTCGAAAGAACCATTGCTAAGACTGTTATGCAACCTAAAACATTTAAGAACCTTATTTGCAATTCACAGTTCAATTGCACAATGTGAGTGGGGATATTGTTCAAGAAATGAGCAAAAATGCAGATACGAGTTCAAGTGTATTGAGGGTAACTCTTGCCAGCTATCTGTTGCTCGTTTTTATGGAGGCAAAGACACTTTAATTTGCGCTTTCCTTGAAAACGGTTGGAAGTGTTTATTGTGTTCCATTTCTCTCCCAAGTTTTGAAATGGAATGGTGAGTTTCAAGTGCTTAATAAATACAGGCCAGGAATGAAAATGCCAAGTGCTTGTTTGTGCTGAAGTGCACCATTAGGAAGCTCTTGAAATGCATTAGGTCGCTTTGTGCTCTTTTTTCGAGAGCATGATTGAGAAATTGCCGATCTTTGAGCGATTGCATAAAACAAAGTCTATATTTAATCAAAGGCACTTCTCAAAGTGTAATAACAGCCTTTATGTGTACGGCATATTAGGACATATACAGTATATACACTGACCAAACATTAGGAACACCTTCCTAATATTGAGTTGCACCCCCCCTTTTGCCCTCAGAACAGCCTCAATTTGTTGGGACATGGACTCTTCAAGGTGTCAAAAGCATTCCACAAGGATGCTGGCCCATGTTGACTCCAATGCTTCCCACAGTTGTGTCAAGTTGGCTGGATGTCCTTTGGGTGGTGGACGATTATTGATACAAACGGGAAACTTGAGCGAGAAAAACCCAACAGCGTTGCAGTTCTTGACACAAACTGGTGCGCCTAGCAAATACTGCCATTCCCTGTTCAAAGGCACTTAAATTTATTGTCTTGCCCATTCACCCTCTGAATGGCACACACACAATCCATGTCTCAATTCTCTAAAAAAAATCCTTCTTTAACCTGTCTCCTCCCTTTCATCTACACTGATTGAAGTGGATTTAATAAGTGACATCAATAAGGGATAATAGCTTTCACCTGGATTCACCTGGTCAGTCTATGTCATGGAAATGTAAATGTTTTGTATACTCAGTGTACATACTGCTTTAAACCTCCACAAATAGGATCTACTCAAATCATACTCATTAACTAGGTAATTAATAATAATAATAAATAACTATTAATTTTCTGGTGGAAATTTGTCCTTTGGTCTGGAGTCCAAATTGGAGATTTTTGGTTCCAACCGCTGTGTCTTTGTGAGACGCGGTGTGGGTGAACGGATGATCTCCGCATGTGTAGTTCCCACCGTAAAGCATGGAGGAGGAGGTGTTATTGTGTGGGGGTGCTTTGCTGGTGACACTGTCTGTGATTTATTTAGAATTCAAGGCACACTTAACCAGCATGGCTACCACAGCATTCTGCAGCGATACGCCATCCCATCTGGTTTGGGCTTAGTGGGACTATCATTTGTTTTTCAACAGGACAATGACCCAAAACAACTCCAGGCTGTGTAAGGGCTAGTTTACCAAGAAGGAGAGTGATGGAGTGCTGCATCAGATGACCTGGCCTCCATAATCCCACGACCTCAACCCAATTGAGATGGTTTGGGACGAGTCGGACGGCAGAGTGAAGGAAAAGCAGCCAACAAGTGCTAAGCATATGTGGGAACTCCTTCAAGACTGTTGGAAAAGCATTCCAGGTTAAGCTGGTTGAGAGAATGCCAAGAGTGTGCAAAGCTGTCATCAAGGCAAAGGGTGGCTATTTGAAGAATCTCAAATATAAAATATATTTTGATTTGTTTAACACTTTTTTGGTTACTACATGATTCCATATGTGTTATGTCATCGTTTTGATGTCTTCACTATTATTCTACAATGTAAAAAATACTAAAAATAAAGAAAAACCCTTGAATGAGTAGGTGTGTCCAAACTTTTTACTGGTAGTGTACATGCATCAGCATCTTCCAGTTTCATGATTGGTTCTCGTCCGAGAGTTTGCGAACATAAACAACATAACATTACCTCATGCCCATGCAGCAGATGTTTATTGGGTTATAATAAGGTCAGAACGAAGTGCATAAGCTATTTCTGGTATTTCTAAAATGTACTTTGAAACGACAATGAAATCAGAATTATCGCTAAATTGTTACATGTAGTTCCTTTAAATAGTATCTTTAATTTCCCTCCAAATCAAATATTTCCTGTCACTCTTTCTCTGGTTCTTTATTCATTAGTTTACCTTTTCCATCCTTCTCTCGTTTCCCCTCTAACTGCTTTCTCCTTTTCGTTACACTGTAGGTTACTAAAAACAATCCACTCACATTCTATGTTAAATTCTTCCTTTTCTTTCTTTCTCCTGTTCTTTATTCATTGATTTACCCTCTATCTTTCCTCCACTCGTTTTGCTTTCTCCAATCCGTTCTCATTCTTCATTCGCTCTCTCAGGCTCTGTACCCACCTATCAGGCCTGTGTAGGCGAGTAGACAGGCTCCATAGTTCCCCTGCTTGCAGCCGTTGGCAGACGACTCGGCTGGTTGGCAGTCGTATTGGAACTGAGCCAGACGGGACCTATACAGCGCCAACACAACTAGCACTGTTTAGTAGCGAGCAAGGGCCGGACACCAATTACAATGATGGTAAAATATATATTTTATGTCATGGTTTTCACTGGAGGACGGGTAGAGTTCGGCGCTTCGCTATCTCTATGTGCTATGAATTTGGTGGTACCGCACTAGTATGTGTAAGGCTATGTGGCATACTGAGGGGCATTAGTTTATTTTATTTATTTCATTCAACAACCCAGAATCATTATTTCAGCCACAGAGCAGAAAAAGGGGCAGTAGAAATAATGGTCATGACATGAGATTGCAATGGGCAATAACTCTAATCCATCTTACATTTTATTTGCGTAAAATATTGAATGTGTTATTCCAGCAGACTCTCAGGGGTGTTCTAAACAATGTTGGTGGACAGCTTGGGGGTAGAATATTGAGCCATTTTGTTGATTTTTTTGTTTGGTTCGTCTGAACTGATACAGATGTGGTTCCCAAATAATCCCCTGGTGAGTCACAGCTGGTACTGTCTGGGTCATGAGACTCATGACTAAAGACTGGCTTGAAGCATTGGTTTGTTGAGTTGGTGGGTCACAAGAAAATATGAACAACAGTTTTTTGTTAAATGCAAAAATACTTTTTGGACCCAATGTTATACATCTTACACTGAGTGTACAAGGCTGTGAGAGATGAGATGGCAGATCTCAACCTCTCTTGGAGCGAGCTACAACATGTTGCCAAGAACAGAAAGAAGGGGTAGTAGCTCATTGTGGCCTATGTCCCAAAATATAAAAAAATAGGTACAGTACATTCCACATTTACAGTGTGTTGTGTTATTAGAGCTTCTGACTCACCTGCACACATAGTCGCCCTTGCACATACGCATCTGTATGAGGCAGCTGGGTTTGTCTGAGCCCTCATAGGAGCAACCGGGAACAATGGTCTGCCTGCGTCGCTCGGCGCACGCCGTGTCTGTGCAGGGGCAGAAGAGCAGCTCATGTGTGTAGTCTGGAGGGACGCGATCAAAGAACCGGCGTAGGGCCTTGTTGCACTTGGCCTTGTTGCAGAGGCCTGACTTGGCCGAGGGTTTGATGCAGGCAGATACGTACTCCGTGCGGAGCTTCTGGCACAGGTCGTCAACGTTACATGCCTTGGCTGCGTCCAGGCAGCGGTTCAACGTCGCCACGTTGGCCTCAGAGTCTGTTGGCACAAGGGGAAGGAAGAACCAGGAATCAGTATCATAGAATAAGAAGAGAATGCCCAAGCAATACATCTTTGGTAAATACTACAGGACCAGTCAAAAGTAGCCATCCTTTGCCTTGATGACAGCTTTGCACACTCTTGGCATTCTCTCAACCAGCTTCATGAGGTAGTCACCTGGAATGCATTTCAATTAACAGGTGTGCCTTGTTAAAAGTTAATTTGTGGAATTTCTTTCCTTCTTAATGCATTTGAGCCAATCAGTTGTGTTGTGACAAGGTAGGGGTGGTATACAGAAGATAGCCGAATTTGGTAAAAGACCAAATCCATATTATGGCAATAACAACTCAAATAAGCAAAGAGAAACGACAGTCAATGATGAAACTGGCTCTCATGAGTACCGCCACAGGACTGGAAGACCCAGAGTTACATCTGCTGCAGAGGATACATTCATTAGAGTTAACTGCATCTCAGATTGCAGCCCAACTAAATGCTTCACAGAGTTCAAGTAACAGTCACATCTCAACATCAACTGTTCAGAGGAGACTGTGTTAATCAGGCCTTCATGATCGAATTGCTGCAAAGAAACCACTACTAAAGGACACCAATAAGAAGAAGAGACTTGCTTGGGCCAAGAAACACTAGCAATGGACATTAGATCAGTGGAAATCTGTCCTTTGGTCTGATGAGTCCAAATTTGAGATTATTGGTTCCAACCGCCGTGTCTTTGTGAGATGCAGAGTAGGTGAACGGATGATCTCCGCATATGTGGTTCCCACCGTGAAGCATGGAGGAGGAGGTGTGATGGTGTGGGGGTGCTTTGCTGGTGACACTGTCAGTAATTTATTTAGAATTCAAGGCACACTTAACCAGCATGGCTACCCCAGCATTCTGCAGCGATAACCCTAACCCTATCATTTGTTTTTCAACAGGACAATGACCCAACACACCCAAGGCTGTGTAAGGGCTATTTGACCAAGAAGGACAGTGATGGAGTGCTGCATCAGATGACCTGGCCTCCACAATCACCCGACCTCAACCCAATTGAGATGGTTTGGGATGAGTTGGACCACAGAGTGATGGAAAAGCAACCAACAAGTGCTCAGAATATGTGGGAACTCAAGACTGTTGGAAAAAACAATTCAGGTTAAGCTGGTTGAGAGAATGCCAAGAGTGTGCAAAGCTGTCATCAAGGCAAAGGGTGGCTACTTTGAAGAATCTAAAATAAAACATATATTTTGATTTGTTTAACACTTGTTTGGTTACTACATGATTCCATATGTGTATTTCATAGTTTTGATGTCTTCACTATTATTCTACAATGTAGAAAATAGTAAAAAATAAAGAAAAACCCTTGAATGAGTAGGTGTGTCCAAACTTCTGACTGGTACTGTATATCACCTATCAGTGAAATTGGCATTTAAAAGTTGTAAACGTCTTGAGAAACCTAAATAATTATTTACAGATATTCATTGTTCCTCTTTACTTCTCTTCCTGCAAATGAAATGTTAAATCAGATGTAAATGAGGTGCTTGGAAGCAAAATTCAAATTTTTTATTTTGCTAATTTTGTTCAGACTCATTGAAAACACTTTCATTTTTAACTGTGCCTCCAGGATACAATGTGGGCTCTTCTATGCCTAAGGCTGCCTTCCAGGAGGACCTAAAAGATACAAGACGGGTTCTTTTCAACATGAAACCTCTGGCTCATCGTCAAAAGGTTGTGGTAAGATCAAAACGAACCGAGGTCCACTTACTTACCAGCCGTGATGGAGGCCAGACGAACGTAGTCGTAGTCTCTCTCCACGGCTTCATAAGGGTAACTCGCTACCAGGTTGAGTCCTGAGAGGATACGGAATGACACATTGTATGACACTGTAATGACATATTATCCCTTTAGAGCTAATGAACAGGACTTGCACATTTTTCATTTCCTGTAGTCATTTACTATGTCTCCTGCAGGTTAATACAGAAAATACTCCCCCTCTCCAAGGACCTTCAGTAATTTGTTACACAGTGACGCCAGGTGTGGTGACTGATGGCTGACTGTTTGCCAGGCATCATGACTAACCTGCATCACCCAGATTGTGTTGTGGGTAAAGAGTTAAATCTGTAACCTGTGTTACATTAATGGACTTGGCCGCCATCCCATCCGATACAAATGACTGAGCAACTTGCAAAGTTGCTCACCGTGTATGACAGACTGATGGAGACTCCAGTAGATGCTGAGGCAGTTCTTCTCCTTCTTCATGCCCCGTTTGCACTGGCAGCTGTGCAGGGGGCTGGAAATCAGGGCTGAGACGGCGTTGGCGCACTGGCTCCGGGCCCCGGGGCCCAGCTTCATGCTGCCGTCCCCCGCCACGCACTGACGCAGGGTCCGCAGACGTGGGCTGCAGGTCTCGTCGCTGGAGCATGAGTCCCCTGCCACCAGACAGTCTCTGCCTGCGGACAGGACCTCATGCAGGGCTACAGGACAGAAAGGGGAGGGTGGAGGAGAGAAGAGGAGAATGGAAGGAGTGGAGCACAATTACGATGTGCTTTATAGATATGGGAAGAATAGGTCTTGACCTGGAACACAAAGACTCATGTAACGTTCAGTGCCAGTTCATAATAATGATACCCATTGCGTATACAGGTTATTTCAGGTGACCGTATCAATTTTGAAAACCTAATTTATCATTATGCAGATCACCCAACCCATCACCTAAACCACAGGTGATTACCTTGTTTAATCCAATGAAATGAAAAGCATGAGGTTTGTGAAAACATCTGATTAAATGTAGAAAACATTTGATAACAGGCTACAGTATCTGTTGGTCTATTACACCGGAACCCGTTCTCTGTCCGAAAAGATGTTTAAGGCTGAATCAAGCAAACCCATTTACGAGTTATTCTTCACCTCTAAGAGATCTGCCAGTACTTTTCATAGTCCTCTGTTCTATTTTCCCATTGAATATCTTTGGCAATGTAGCCCACCTTGATTTAAATGTCTCTGTTAGCAATCTGGACTCAAATCAGCATGATATGTTACGTTTGGTGTGGTATATATTAATTAGTCGATGTCCATCATCCATTTTGTATGATATATTACGAATTAAAAGTCGTATGAGGGTTAAAGGGTTAGGGGAAGGGTTAGCTAACATGCAAAGTAGTTGCAAAGTAGCTAAAAAGTAGTAAGTAGTTGCTAATTAGCTCAAATGGTAAAGTTGTCCGTGATGAGATTCGAACACGCAACCTTTGGTTTGCTAGATGTTCGCATTATAAGTCCACTCATTAGAGCGTCTGCTAAATGACTAAAATGAAAACGTCTCAACTTACTGTTAAGTAGTAGAATACACAAGGTGCAAGTTCGACATTTGGTTGTGCATCAGCAGTTTTTCTCTTGTTTTGTCAGCCACTGACAGTCACTCAATTAGCCATGCCAGCTAACAATTTTTAGATTGGTAAGTTAGTCTAGCCAGTTATCTAAACTTGTAGTAATCATGGCCGAATACCGACCAGGGGCCCTGACCTCCAGGGGGCCCCCATTGATTTTGTTAGTCACTTTGACTCAGATATCATTATCATTGCATAAGTCATGGCAAAATGTGTAGAATTGCAGTAAATTAGCTTTAAAACAGCAAAACAAATTCTCCACCCATGGCAAAATGGGTAAAATCGCAGGAAATTAGCTTTAAAACTTCTAACATTTGTTCTACCTATTCAGGATACATCACAATGAAGAGAATGACATTCATAATTATGCATTTCTTTATAGTACAGATCAAGGACCCATGAAGCCATTATGTTACTGGGTGTTTATCCACTTCACATCTGTAGTTCAATAACCAAAAGAGATGTTTTCAAACTCAAGTAGTCATATCATAGCTGACACCCCATTCTTTCTGCAGACATCTTTGAATCTTAATTCGGAGTAGATATTTAACAGAGTTTTTGGAAAACGTGCTCACATAAACTGAGGGAGATTTTACTGTCATTCTGTTATCAAACTTTGCATCTGCACCTTTCCTCAAGTAAATGTGTTTTAGGGGCCTCATTTATCAATATTGCGTAGAAACTATTCTAAAATACTACTTAAGAAAGGAATGTATAATGTTGGTAGGCATAGAAAAGGTATGATTTATCAAACAATCCTAAGATCGTCATTCAAACACCAGTAGGAGATACATTGATACATACCAACTGTTCTCAGCCTCAGTGCTCGTGCACAACATGTTTTATGTTTTATGTTTTAGGCATTTAGCAGACGCTCTTATCCAGAGCGACTTACAGGAGCAATTAGGGTTAAGTGCCTTGCTCAAGGGCACATCGACAGATTTTTCACCTAGTCGGCTCGGCTATTTGCCTTTCGAAACGCCCCTAATTAACCATATATGGTCAAAATCATCCCTTTAAAGCCTGTGGGGAAAATACAACGCCGTACCATAAAATACAACGGCACAAACAAAAAAAGTGATAAAAAAATAAGAATAATTCTAGACTGAAATAGAGGTGCTAGTGTCAGAGGTTGAGTACAACCAAAAGGTTTTATTTGGCTCACTCAGTTGTGGCTTGACCAGTAAAAATCTAAACATAGCTACAAAGAGGACAATTCAAGTTGCTTAAGTAATGGCAAATATACTTAAAATGAGTAGGCAACACTCACCAATAAGCATATAGGCCAACATTGCTGTTCTGCAGAATGAAGGAGTCGTGCGTTCCACCTGGCCACCACATTCAGCACTGTCTTTTGCGCATCACATAACCTGTCACGTAGTTGAACTCATTTTGGGATGGTGCTTTTATGGCAATGTGGGTGCCGCCTATTGCTTCGTTCGTAAATAATGGCAAAGAAACCCCTCTTGACTTTGTAGTATATGGAGAATTATGACTTTGCTAATGTTTTCAAGTGGAACCTGAGAGGATGTTTATTCAGTTTCAGAGGGAGCCGTTTTAGAGTGACACCCCATAGAACAGAGGGAGTCTGTTTGTTGGAGACAGGTGATTGGACAGTAGAGGGAGCCACCCATATTTTGGGAAAGATTATAAGTATGGGCTAGAGACAAAGAACATTAGAACAGACTTATTATTTTGGGACTCTGTTCTCCGGATGATCTTGACATCTGTAAACTTATGCTGAAATCTTGTGATATAAATAAAACGTATGATCAAAGCTCAGTATAAGCGGACTCCTTTGTTTCAGAGCATAATTAGCCACATTAACTCGACACTACAACTTAACTCAACCTGTTGTGCGATGGTGCATGGAAATTGTATGTAACTCCATCCAAAACAACGACTCATCGAGGGCTGTGAAATGCGGATCAGCAATCTCCCGCTGAAAAGTGCCCGTTGCCAAAAACCTAAGGCAGTTGGATATGCACCGGAATGGCATGTGTTTGCCTTTCTATAGTAGGTCTTAAATACTTGCAAAGTCCTAAACGATTGGTTTTGGTAAACGATATCTGATGAGCCAATCTGTACTTCATGCAAAAAAGTCCCACCTATCTCTAAAAACGTGCTCTCTGTGAAACGCAGCGTGTGCCAAATCTTCCAACAGATTTATTTCCCATTATCGCAGTCTTTTATAATATTTCAACAATGGTTTCACTTTCACACGTGCCTGTAATTTAACAAAAGATTGACTTTATATGGATTATTATCATAACAAATGCACCGATGTGGTCAAATTATATGATATAGCCTGTCAAGATACAGTTGCATGAATTCATAATGGTTATTAAGCTCATAATTTCACACATTTTCAACATACATTTTCCCGATTCACTAGGCTACTACACACTTCGCATGGTTTATGCACAGATTTGTGCCTACGCATGATTTATAAATGAGGACCCTGGTGTTTACATTTGTTGGATGACATGAAAATAGAGCTCTTTGGCCAAGCACACTAGTGGTGGGTTTTGCGTTGAAAGAAAGATGCACTTGCAGAAAATAACCCCATACCTACTTTAAAATAGGATGGTGAATCTTTAATGTTATGGGGCTATTTTGCTTCTACTGGACCTCCACCAGCATCATGAACTTTACCCAGTACCAGGACATTTTAGCCAAAAACCTGGTTGCCTCTGCCAGGATGCTGAATCTTGGCCGCAAGTGGATCTTCCAACAAGACAATAAACCCAAGCACATATCAAAATCCAAAAAGAAATCAAAATCAGCATTTTGCAATGGCCATCTCAGTCTCCGCACTTGAACACCATTGAAAATATGTGGTTTGAATTGAAGAGGGCAGTCCATCCATATGCGCAGACTAAGGATATCAAGGATCTGGAAATAATCTGTATTGAGGAATGGTCTAAGATCACTCCCAATGTGTTCTCCAATCTCATAAAACATTTTAGAAAAAGGCTCAGTGCCGTTATCCTCGCCAGGTGAGGTATTGAAAGGTATTGAAATCAGGGGTGGTTAATTTTGACCCTTACCTTTTTGAGAGAAACAAATATTACTTGTTAAACAAAATCTATTTCTCTGAGCAATTGCATTAGTTTAAAATTATATGATTTCCAATTTTTTTTGGCACATACAATACCTACGTCAACTATGACAGACAAAATGAGGAAAAAAAATCCAGAAAATCACATTGTAGGATTTTTTATGAATTTATTTGCAAATTATGGTGGAAAATAAGTATTCGGTCAATAACAAAAGTTTCTCAATACTTTGTTATATACCCTTTGTTGGCAATGACACAGGTCAAACGTTTTCTGTAAGTCTTCACAAGGCTTTCACACACTGTTGCTGGTATTTTGGCCCATTCCTCCATGCAGATCTCCTCTAGAGCAGTGATGTTTTGGGGCTGTCGCTGGGCAACACGGATTTTCAACTCACTCCAAAGATTTTCTATGGGGTTGAGATCTGGAGACTGGCTAGGCCACTCCAGGACCTTGAAATGCTTCTTACGAAGCCACTCCTTCGTTGCCCGGGCGGTGTGTTTGGGATCATTGTCATGCTGAAAGACCCAGCCACGTTTCATCTTCAATGCCCTTGCTGATGGAAGGAGGTTTTCACTCAAAATCTCATGATACATGGCCCCATTCATTCTTTCCTTTACACGGATCAGTCGTCCTGGTCCCTTTGCAGAAAAACAGCCCCAAAGCATGATGTTTCCACCCCCATGCTTCACAGTAGGTATGGTGTTCTTTGGATGCAACTCAGCATTCTTTGTCCTCCAAACACGACGAGTTGAGTTTTTACCAAAAAGTTCTATTTTGGTTTCATCTGACCATATGACGTTCTCCCAATCCTCTTCTGGATCATCCAAATGCACTCTAGCAAACTTCAGACGGGCCTGGACATGTACTGGCTTAAGCAGGGGGACACGTCTCGCACTGCAGGATTTGAGTCCCTGGCGGCGTAGTGTGTTACTGATGGTAGGCTTTGTTACTTTGGTCCCAGCTCTCTGCAGGTCATTCACTAGGTCCCCCCGTCTGGTTCTGGGATTTTTGCTCACCGTTCTTGTGACCATTTTGACCC